GAGTCAGACTGTCACAGGAGGACAGTGTCCAGTTCTTGGATTTATATCACGGGAGAGCTGCAGAAACTTTGGAGGAAATTTGAGGAACCTCCAAGAATGTAAGCCCTGTGAGCGTGGGGGCCTGTCAACTGTACCCTACAATGGACAATAGGAATTCAAAAATGTTTATTGAATATATGTGAAACCACTGATATTAAAATAATGTAAGGCCATAAAGCAGGAATAGTGACACATATCTGATGTCTATAGAAGTATAGATACAGCTAAGAGTTAACCAGCCATTGCTCCCTAACTTCCCTACTGCTGTGACTGCTCCCTGCTTAAGAGTCATGTCTCCTTGACAGATGCAAGATTTGTGACTTCCCTAATCAATTCTATAGATAACATCGCTATTGCAAAACCTAAGACTGGTCTTTGAGATAGCTTCCAGACTCTGCATTCGTGGAGGAGCAACCAGAGCCGTGGCCATGTGCGAGAGCCAATCCAGCAAGTCTTGCAACCCCCTACTCGGGAACCGTCCCAGCCAAGAACACAGTTTCTGCTTCCCAACCCTATGAGCTCACCCCTAGCCAATCAACAAACCTAATACCCCGGCCCTTTCTTTGTTTGCCAAACCACCTTTATAAATCTTAGCCCCCAAATTCTTGGGGAGATGGATTCACAAAATTACTCCCATCTCCTTGCCTGGCGCCTTGTGATATTAAAAATTCTTTCTCTGCTACAACTCTCGCTGTCTCAATATAATTGGCCTTTACTGGGCAAATTACTGAAGTTTTTGAAGTAAGGCTTTTAAAGAGTAAGGTTTACCGACTCTAAAAGAAGAAGTAGCTGAGGAACCATTCCTCAATAATTTAAAGAGGGGAAATATTTATTCTCACACTTCATCACTGTCCTTAGGGAATGTAAAAATATGTGGTATATAAGGCACATAGTAGGTGTTCAATAAATGTTTGTTGAATAAATGAAGGAATGCATGTGCAGATGTACACAAGGAAGGAAGTGTTTCCAGAGAGGGTTATTGTTGCAGGGTTATATGTTGCAGCATGTTGCAGGGATGTGGCGGATGAGGCAGACAGCATTCCCACCAGTACAGCAAACTTCATCACCTCTGGATAGTGTCATCGTGGCTTTACCTGAAGACTATTTCTCAAGGTCCCTTCCCACACTAAAATTCTCTAAAAGTAACATTCATTTTTAGTGACAAGTGAATTCCTCAAATTTTGTTTTCTCAAGTATTGCTTTATTATAATATAATTAACATAATCAACCTATGATGTTACTGTCCTAAGCCTCCCCTCCCTCTCAAGAGTCTGAGGAGTGTTCCGCACGTGCGTTCTGCCTCCCCTCTGGTCAGAGGTTGTTCCTTACCAATGTGTCCCTTTTCTTAAACTGTCGCCATCGCCTCCCCCTCCCCACTGTAGCGTGTCCTTTCTTTCAATTGCAGCCGCTGTCTGCTTCCTCTTTCCTTGCGGCTGTGGGAGCTGGGAGAGACAGTCAAGCTCTTGGCAGTGTCTGGTTAAGAGCAGTGATTTACAGTCTCTATAATCTCTGAGCCCTCTGCCTATCTGGAAATGGAAACTGCTTCCACATGTGTTTGTTTTATTGGGTTTCTGCATTTTGCCTCTCTACTTTTGCATGATGATCCCTTCCCCACTAAGGCACCAAGAGTCCCCCTTTGTACACTTTCTGGCAAGCACAGCCATGGCTAGAGCAGGCTTTTAAATTCTGCAGGTTTTGAATGGGCCACCTACTTTGAGTGCAAAGGCACCTCTAGCCGATCTTTTGTGAGGTGTGTGTGTGTGTGTGTGTGGTGTGTGTGTGTGTGTGTGCTGGGGCAGGAGAGGAAGGGATGTCTCTAGAAAGACTAGAAGGCTCATAGCATGTTAGAGCTGAGGCACCTTCAAGGTCACTCTAGTTTAGGGCTTTCCAACCAGGCCTGGAGGAATCTCAGAGTATCTCGGCAGTGCCTAAAGAGGCTGCTATGTCAAGAGAGGGCTGATGAAAGCGTGGTGGGTTTTCCTAAGCCCCCTAGCAATTCCGCTTTTATCTGTTTTTCAGGCTGGTTCCACGTTTTCATTTTATACATGAGGTAATAGAGGTGGAATGACTTGTTAATTGGGTGCCATTTTACCTTGGCTACTGCTCTGCACTTCTCTTAGTTATCTTTTTCTTTCTTTTTTTTTTTTTGAAACAGGGTCTCACTCTGTTGCCCAGGCTAGAGTGAGTGCCGTGGTGTCAGCCTAGCTCACAGCAACCTCAAACTCCTGGGCTCAAGCAATCCTCTGTCTCAGCCTCCGAGTAGCTGGACTACAGGCACCACCACCATGCCCGCTAATATTTTCTATATATTTTTAGTTGTCCAGCTAATTTCTTTCTATTTTTAGTAGAGACAGAGTCTTGTTCTTGCTCAGGCTGGTCTCGAACTCCTGAGCTCAAACGATCCACCCGCTTCAGCCTCCCAGAGTGCTAGGATGACAGGCGTGAGTCACCACGCCTGGCCTTAGTTATCTTTTTGATGTCCTATCACATTCCCTATAATATTTTTTTCATGACTTTCTCTGTTGTTCTAGTTCCCCAACCCCATTCACCGCTCGCACACAGTACTTCATCTCCACAGGCGCCATGTTTTCCTGAAAGATTTGAGGTCTCTGGTGCACCTGCTCTTGCATCTTCTTTCCTCTACCTCAAAATTTCTCTTCCCTGTTCACTTCCCTCCCCTTCAGTCTCTGGGGAAGGTGTGTCTCTTGCCTCCCCCTCTTTCCAAGGCTAGCCCTTCCGCTCGTGCCTGCAGTGCCACTCCCTCCTCCTTCTGCTAGCATCTTGCCCCAAGGTTGGATTTATATATTTAATCATTTCCTCTCATCCAGATGTTTTCTCTTTACCTACAAACATATTTGGGCCTTTCCCTCATGCAAGTGAAACCAGCGTAATAAAACAAAGAAATCTCCTATTACCCACGGTTTTTAAATTGAGTATGAACCCCTTGCCCAAACATTCAGCTACCCTTCTCTCCTCTCGTCACCCCTCTTACACGCACCACATGCACCAACAAGCTACTTTCATTTGCTGAACATACCCAGCACTCTCTCTTTACTGGTTCCCTCCCTGGTATCTTCTGCTCCATCTCTTCTGCCTGTTAAAATTTTTCAAAGCCCATCACACCATCTCTTCAAGGAAGGCCTCCTTGGCTTCCCAAAGTGGCTGTAATCCTACACTCCTTTAAGTGGCCGCGGCGCAGTTTCTGCCTTGCAAGATCCTCGCCTTCTTTCACCTGCCTGACAGCTCCAAAGGGCAGAGTGAGTCCTTCTCAGTTTTGTGCCCCTCACACTGCCTTTTGAGCTTTGTGCGTTTGACCTGCCCAAGTCATACAGCCAGTCGGGCACAGCTGGATCTAGACCCATTTCTCTTGATTCTTAGATAAATGACGTTTAGTGTTAATTAGGTGTCTATGACCTAGAATAGGAACATTTTTGTTTCTTTTTTATTTTCAAAGTACGGCATATGGCTTTCAATAAGGAGCATTTTATCTTGTGTCCCAAGAGGCTAAGTACAGCTGTTGTTGGTCTTTGGGCTCGCTTTTTGCTTGGACTGAGATTACTTTAGCTAGATAATTCTGCTAATTTAATAGGGCGGTATCATCTTTCAACCCAACTGCCAACTCTGACCCATTAGGTATGCTTGTCTGCAATACTGTGTTAAGAAGGATTCTGAGGCTCATTAGTAGGAAGTAATTATACTTGATTAGTAATGTCTCCAAAGGGCTTGGGAGGGGAGAGTTTAGGCACAGGTGTCAGGTTTCTTCTATCCTGCGGGATACATGCAGTTTGAATCCTGGGAACAGATGTGCCCTTTTACCTAGTCCCCTTTGGAAAGTCTCCATGAACTGATGATCACATGTGACGGTTGGGTACATTTTGAGATGTGCAATTTTTTATGTGAGCCAAGCTGGCCAATGCTGGAGGACTGTGACTAAACCAGCAACCTTGGTCTCTCTGGACCTTCGCGCACTGAGCTAGAAAATGATTACTTTATTCCACTTTCAAATTCCACCCTTCTGTAATAGAGAGATGTCTTAGCTCCTCAGGGGATCTGAGGCCAGGCCATCCAACAACTTGCTTCTTTTTGCTGTTTCTGACAGCTTTCTCCTCAGCACATTGGAAGATGGCAGGGGGATGCTTTTGTCTGGAAGGAGGGAAAGCTTTGGGGAGGCTGGACGCAAAGGCTTCCCTGGCTGAGCTGTGGCGCCCAGAGAGCCTTCGCCCTGCCCGGGTTCAGGGTTTCAGTGGCCTCAAACAGGGACCTTGCAATCCCACTGTGCCTCCCCCTCCCCACCTGGGCCAGGCAAGGGCGGGCTTCATGGTCCCCTCTCCTCAGCCCTCATTCCTCTGTGCCCTTTTCCAACCCAGACTCCAGCCCCGCTGAGACTTGAGAATATTACTTCTCTTTTGCTCAGGGAAGAAGAAAAGCCTCCAAACTCACATGCTTTTGATTGTTCTTGGTCTGGACTGGGATTGCCCGAGCAGCAGGACCCTGATTATGGAATTTATCTTGCACTGAGCCCGGGTTGCTTTAACGCAGATGCCGCAGGGCTGGGAAGAGAAGCGGGTAAAAGCAGCTCCGTCCTGCAGGCAGAGGCTGAAATCCTTGCTCTCGCAGTCTGCACACTGCAGTCTCTGGCCTTGCTTCCGACCCCGGGCCCTGGGCTCTCCTGGCCTGCCTCAGTCACTCCATTCCCTTCCACACTTGGCGGGCATCTTTGGAAACATTTCTCCCTCTCGGCTTTGGAGAAAGTTTGTAAGTCGGCTAGTGTGACTCCCATCCAAGTTCAGCCTGTGCCCTGTTGCTTGTACAATTTCGACGGCCCCTCCTGGCCCCCCGTTCAGCAAATACTTCTAACCTTCCCCAGGCCGCCAGCCCGGTGGAAGAAACACAGGTATCATTTCCCAGCTGTCAAGTCACATTCTGCAACAGACAAACAGCGTTGCTGGAACCCCACTTACGGTGAACCTCCACAGCCCCCCGAGGTCGTGGCTCCTCTCGAAGCAGGTGGGCTCCAGTCCCTCCTCCAGACAGCACTTGACGGACGCCAGGCCGCTGACGCCAGCCCCCACGATTGCCACTCTCCGGGCCATGTCCTCCTGTGTGGGGAAAATGAAGCGGAACTTTCTAGCCACAGAAGCTCCACCCCATCCTCGGCTGCTTCCACAAACCAGGGAAAAGAATTTAGAAGATTAAGGGATTTGCTCAGCTTGAATCCCCCGTAGCCGGTCTCCTGCGTGTGCACATGAGAAGGGAGATGTTCAGGTCACCGGGCGACCCCGGCGCCTGGCATGTTCCCACCCCCACCCGGCACGGCGCCAGATGTCAGTGCAGTTGTGGCCGAGGCTGTGGCTTCTGGCAGAGTGGCTGGGATTGGACCCTTTCATGGACAGAGTCTTGCATTCTGGAATGTGCTGCTGTCTCCAGCCTCTCTTCTCTAGCCCTCGAACCGAGTAGAGCAGCACACCAGGAAAGGGTCACCTTGTCATGCAGGTGCTTTTTATCACGTGCAGAACTGCAGCTCGGATCGGCGTGGTAACCTGACAGGAAGCCACACAGCAGCTGGTGGGGGCAGCTGGGACCAGGAGCCAAGACCCTGTCTGTGGCCACAGGTGCTGCTGCAGCCCTGCCCTGTGTGATCCCAGCCCCTGGCACACCGCCAGCGCCCCAGTGGGCTGTTGGGGTGTCCCTCTTGTGCTGGTCACCAGTGATGGCCACTGGTGGGAGATGGAGGGTGGCTGCCGGTGAGGGTGTGTGGTGGAAAGGCCGGCGTGGAAAGCCATCCATTCTCCCTCAGTCTGATACTGATTCGTCTCCAGGGCTCATGGCATCTCACCACTGGCACAGGCTGGAGAACCTTCTGACACGAGACCACCTGTGGGCACGATCACATGGATGCGTGAAAACACAGAGAGGAGTGTACTGTGCGGAGTAAGCAGCCAGGCTCTGGCTCCAGGCTGCCTGGGAGACATCTCGGTCCTGTCAGTTACTACTGTGTGATCTTGGACAGATGATGTAACCCCTCTGTGCATCACAAAAATGAAGAAAATGGTAATAGCTTCCTTGCAGTGTTTTGTGGGAATCAAGAGAATTAACACCCATAAAGTGTCTTAGAATGATGGTTCCTGGCACGTAGTAAATGCGTAATAACTGTAAGTTATTGTAACTATAAAAACATTTCCCAGAACTGGTTTTGTCTTCTGCCTGTCACATCAACAAGCCTCTATTCTTTTAATCTCTGTAGCATTTCTGGTCATTCAGAAATGTCTTGTTAGCTTTTCCCTAATATGTTTTTTTGGCAAAATTGTTATCTTCCCAAGTTTGTAAGTTTTAAAAGCACAGTGAAGCGTCCCCCAAAACATAGTTTTCCTAAACATTTTCTATTTTTCCTTTCACAGATGGACTCTCTCCTTTTGTTTTTTATGATATGCATGTTTCGTTTGTAGAATCGGAACCCGAGAGAAGCAGCTCGACTACAGGGACGTCACTTGCTTTGTTCTCTGCTGTGTCCTGGTGTCTAGGGCAGCACTGGGAACACAGTAGAATACATACTCAATCCACAGTTTTTGAATGAAATGAAAAGCTTCCCTTTTTTCAAGTGTTACGTAAAATTGTTGTAGGGCTGGTTTCTTCCTATAGCAACTGGACTGTGTTTATTGGGGAAGAGCTGGTGGATTTTCTTTAGGCGAAGTCATGCATTAGACCCCGACGGACACGGTGGAATCAAGAACGCTGTGTGATTTCCCTCTCCTGGGCCCCAAAGGAGTAGAGTGACCCTATGTTTGGAGAGGCAGCTGAAGTGTGGGTGTTGGGGCCGGGTCACTCAGTTTCAGATCCCTGCTCTATCATGAATCAACTTGGTGACTTAGAAAAATGGCTTATCCACTTTAGGCCTCAGTTTCTTCATTTGCAGGGTGAGATACAATGCTATTCACTTTTGTGGGACATAATAGGCATTCAATAAAGAATGTCCACTTTTATGGGAAAAAAGACTCTGGTAATAAAGAGAGGGAATTGCGTATACACATATGATATCTGTGGCTGTGCGCAGAGGCACGCTGGCTCTATAACGACAGCAGGTCTGCCCATAGCTTGACATTCATGTCTTCAGCAGGACAACAGCAAACAAAGCAGGCTCCTTTGTTATGGGAGGGTGAGGAGCCATTTCTGAGAGCCAGGCAGAGATCCAGGGTGAGAGAATTCTCCTAGCGTGGCTCCACTGAAACTAGCGAGGAAGTCAGCAGGGGGAGGGGTGATTTCCCTGGAGAGAGGCTCGTAGTGTTCACCCTGCCCTGGCGTGCTGGAGAATGCGTTTGGACAGGAGGAATGGGCTCCTGGTGTGAGAGGACCATGGTGTGTATTTCTTTCCTTGCCTAGGATGTTGCAGTCTCAGGCCCATGCTGCTGACTAAAGCGCCGGGCTGGTTCAGTGAGAAGGACTCGTTTACTCCCAGTGCTGGGGGACAGGGGGCCCAGCCAGGGAGCTGGTTCTGCTGTGAGCTGACCATGGAGGCCTTGGGCAAGGAACTGAACTGCCCCGGGTTTACTTTGCAGAAGAGCATGTAAGTAGTGGATCTTATCCAAGGGCCTGACCAGTAATGTAAACATCTGCCTTTAAGCATCTGAAAGGCTATCACAGAGAGAAGGATTAGACTTACGGGCAGCGGTGGAACTGAAGAGGCACATTCGAGCTCCATAGAAGCACTTCCCAGCATTTCCAGCTCTAAAGTCAGCTTTATTGAGGCAGAGTCTAGATGACAAATTTTTGAAGATATCATAAGCAGGAGACTAATAGATCACGTAGAAGGGTGGACTCACATGCCTTACAGCTGCAGTCCCCAGCCCCCGGGCCGTGGACCAGTGATGGTCTGTGGCCTGTTGGGAACGGGACTGCACAGCAGGAGGTGATGGGGTGGGGAGCCGAGTGAAGCTTCATCTGTATTTACAGCTGCCCCCCACTGCTCACGCCACTGCCTGAGCTCCGCCTCCTGTCAGATCCTTACCCCCGACCCTCGGCTCCTGCATCCGTGGAAAAATTGTCTTCCATATAACCGGTCCTCGGTGCCAAAAAGTTTGGGGACCACTGCCTTACAGGATCCTGTCAACTCAGATTCTATGGTTCATTCTCCGATTAATTCAGGCATCAAACACTCAAGTGGGTGGCTTCTGTGCTGCTAAGCCCAAGGCTAGGTATGGGGAGTGCAAAGGATGAACAAGGCATGATGCCTTCTCTAGAGCAGTGACCAGTCTGGTGGAGAAGTGAGATATGAAAATACATGAATATAATATGTATGTGTATATATATATATATATATATTGTTTTTTTTTGTTGTTTTTTTTTTGAGACAGAATCTTACTCTGTGGCCCCGGCTAGAATGCCATGGTGTCAGCCTAGCTCACAGCAACCTCAAACTCCTGGGCTCAAGCAATCCTCCTGCCTCAGCGTCCCAAGTAGCTGGGACTACAGGCATGCGCCGCCATGCCCGGCTAATTTTTTCTATATATGTTTTTAGTTGGCCAATTAATTTCTTTCTATTTATAGTAGAGACGGGGGTCTTGCTCTTGCTCAGGCTGGTTTCGAACTCCTGACCTTGAGCGATCCTCCTGCCTCGGCTTCCCAGAGTGCTAGGATTATAGGTGTGAGCTATTGCGCCCGGCCAATAAGTATAATATTCTGTATAAAGTGCTAAGATATAGGTATGTCTTATGGACAAAGTGCAATAAGAGCATGAAGAAGGAAGTGCTAATTCTGACTCTGGGTCGGTAGGAAAACAACACAGAGGAATAGTATTTGCTCCAGGTTTTGAAGGATGGATAGGACTTCAGTGGGCAGAGAAGGGAGGAGGGGTGCTTCAGAGTCTGGGAGCACTGAGAACAAGAGCTGGAGGTGGTTCATAAAGGTGTGTGTGGCTGTTTGATCCCATGGTGACTTTGCCTTTCTTTCTCTTTTTTTTTTTTTTTTTTGAGACAGTCTCACTCTGTTGTCCAGGCTAGAGTGAGTGCCGTGGCATCAGCCTAGCTCACAGCAACCTCAGACTCCTGGGCTCAAGCAATCCTGCTGTCTCAGCCTCCCGAGTAGCTGGGACTACAGGCATGTGCCACCATGCCCGGCTAATTTTTTGTATATATGTTTTAGTTGGTCAATTAATTTCTTTTTATTTTTTAGTAGAGACGGGGTCTCGCTCAGGCTGGTTTCGAACTCCTGACCTCGAGCAATCCGCCCACCTCAGCCTCCCATTTTCTCTTTTTTAAAAATTTATTTTTATTTTAATCATTATGGGTACATAATAATTGTATATTTTTATAGGGTACATGTGAAGTTTTGATATAGGCATGCAATGTAAATTAATCGAATTAGAGTAATTGGGGTATCCATCACCTCAGGCATTTATCATTTCTTTGTGTTGAGAACATTCCCATTCCTCTCTTTTAGTTATTTTAAAGCATATCCTGACTTATCATTGTTTATAGTCACTTTGTTGTGCTATCAAATATTGTTCATTCTATCTAATTATCTAACTATATTTTTGTATCCCTAAATCATCCCCGCCATATCTCCCCTCCCCACTACCCTCCCAGCCTCTGGTTACTGTCATTCTACTCTCTGCCTCCATGAGATCAGTTACTTTTAATATTTAGCTCCCACATGAGTGAGAACATGTAAGATTTGTCTTTCTGTGCTTGGCTTATTTCATTTAACGTAATTTTCTCCAGTTCTATCCATGTTGTTATAAATGGCAGGATTTCATTCTTTTTGTGGCTATATAATATTTCATTGTGCATGTGTACCACAATTTCTTTATCCATTCATCCACTGATGGACATTTAGGATGATTACAAATCTTGGCTACTGTGAATAGTGCTGCAATAAACATGAAAATGCAGATGTCTTTTCGATATACTAATTTCCCCTCCTTTGGCTATCTACCCAGCAGTGGGATTGCTGGGCCATATATAGTAGTTCCATTTTTAGCTTTTTAGGGAACCTCCATACTGGTTGCATTAGTTTACATTCCCACCAATAGTATTCAAGGGTTCCCCTTTCTCCACATTTTTGCTAGCATTCATTATACCCTGTCTTTTTGATAAAAGCTATTTTAATTGGGGTGAGATGATATCTCATTGTAGTTTTTATTTGCATTTCTCTGGTGACTAATGATGTTGAGCTTTTTTGATATACCTATTGGCCATTTGTATGTCTTTTTTTGAGAAATGTTTATTCAGATTCTTTGCCCATTTTTAAATTGGATTATTTGATTTTTTCCTATTGAGTTGTTGGAGCTCTTCATATATTCTAGTTATTAATACCTTGTCAGGTGGGTAGTTTGCAAATATTTTCTCCCGTTCTGTGGCTTGTCTCTTTACTTTGCTGATTGTTTCCTTTGCTGTGCAGCTTTTTAGCTTGATGTGTTACCAATTGTTCAATTTTGCTTTAGTTGTCTATGCTTTGGAGGTAATACTCAAGAAGTCCTTGCCAGACCGATGTCCTGAATATTTTCTCCAGTGTTTTTCTTTTAGTGGTTTCATAGTTTCAGGTCTTAGATTTAAGTCCTTAATCCATTTTCATTTGATTTTGTATATGGTGAGATATAAGAGTCTAGTTTCATTCTTCTGCATGTGAATATCCAGTTTTCCCAGCACCATTTATTGAAGAGACTGTCATTTCCCAACAGTATGTTCTTGGCACTTTTGTCAAAGATAAGTTGACTATATATGTGTGGATTTATTTCTGAGTTCTTTATTCTGTTCCATTAGTTTATGTGTCTGTTTTTATGCCAGTGCCGTGCTGTTTTGGTTAACACATCCCTATAGTATAATTTGACATCAGGTAATGTGATTCCTTCAGTTTCATTCTTTTTGCTCAGGATGTCTTTGGCTATTCTGGGCCTTTTGTGGTTCCATATAAATTTTAGGATTACTTTTTTTTTTTATTTCTGTGAAGAGTCATTGGTATTTTTATGAGGAGTGCATTGAATCTGTAGATTGTTTTGAGTAGTATGGAACTTTTTTTTTTCAGTTTTTTTTTAATTTTTTTTATTTCGGCATATTATGGGGGTACAGATTTTAAGGTTTCAATAAATGCCCATTTCCCCCCCTCCCCCCACAAGTCTGAGTCTCCATCATGACCATCCCCCAGATGGTGCACATCTCACTCGTTATGTATGTATATACCCGCCCCCCTCCCTGTATGGAACTTTTAGTAATATGGATTCTTCCAATCAATGAGCATGGAATATATTTTCATTTTTTGTTATCCTCTTCAATTTTGTTCATCAAAGTTTTGTTTTCATTATAGAGTTCTTTCATTTCTTTAAGTTTATTCATAGGTATTTTATTTTATTTGTAGCTTTTATAATTGAGTTTACTTTCTTGGTTTTAGATTCTAGGAATTCAGATTGTTTACTGTTGGCATATAGACATGCTACTGATTTTTGCATGTTGATTTTGTATTCTGCAACTTTACCAAATTTGTATATCAGTTCCAATAATTTTTGGAGGGAATCTTTAGGTTTCTCTAGACATAAGATTATATCATCTGTAAACAAGGATGATTTGACATCTTCCTTTCCAATTTGCATGCCCTTTATTTCTTTCTCTTGTCTGATTGCTCTAACTAGAACTTCTGGTACTATGTAGAATAAGTGGTAAAAGTGGGCATCCTTGTCTTGCTCCAAATCTTAGAGGAAAGACTTTCAGTTTTTCCCCATTCACTATGATACTAGTTATTGGTTTGTCATATACGGCCTTTATAGTGTTGAGGTAAGTTCCTTCTATACCCAGTTTTTTGAGAGTTTTTATCACAAAGGGATATTGAATGCTTTTATCAGCATCAATTGAAATGATCATATGATTTTTTTTTTGTCGTTTATTCTGTTGATATGATGTATCACATCGACTGATTTGTATATGTTGAATTATCCTTGAATCCCTGGGATGAATCCCACTTGATCATGATGAATAATATTTTTAATGTATTGTTGAATTGCTAGTATTTTGTAGAGGATATTTGCATCTGTGTTTATCAGAGACATTGGATTATAATTTTTTTTGTTGTTGTTTCTTTTGTCTGGTTTGGTATCAGGGTGATATAAGCCTTGTAGAATAAGTTTGGAAGTATCCCCTTCTCCTTGGTTTTTTGGAATAGTTTTAGTAGGATTGGCGTTAGTTCTTCTTTGAATGCTTGGTAGATTCAGCAGTGAAACCATTAGGTCCTGGGATTTTCTTTGATGGGAGACTTTTTATTACTGCTTCTATCTCATTACTTGTTATTGGTTTATTCAGGTTTCGATTTTTTTCATGATTCAATCTTGCTAGGTTGTATGTGTCTAGGAATTTATCCATTTCCTCTAGGTTTTCCAATTTATTGGCATGTAGTTGCTTATAGTAGTTTCTAGTCATCATTTGGATTTCTGCAGCATCAGTTGTAATGTCTCCTTTTCATCTCTGCTTTTATCTATTTGGGTCTTCTCTCTTTTTTCTTAGTTATTCTGGCTAAAGTTGTGTCTATTTTATCATTTCAAAAAAACATCTTTTCATTTTGTTGATATTTTGTATTCTTTTGTTTCAATTTCATTTATTCTGCTCTGATCTTTATTATTTATTTTCTTCTATGAATTTTGTGTTTGATTTGCTGTTGTTTTTCTAGTTCTTTAAGATTCATTGTTAGGTTGTTTATTTGAAGCTTTACTGTTTTTGTGATGTAGGCACTTATCTTACTGCTATAAACTTTCCTCTTATTACTGCTTTTAC